AGAGAAAACAAAAAATAAAACATAACAAATAGTGCAGTGCTTATTCAAATGAATAAAATTATACCTTAAATAAATCAATATAAACAATTCAAGTGACCTAAAAATAGTGGAACAACAATATAACCACAAAAAGACACTAACAAATAGTGGAACAACAATATAACCACAAAAAGACACTAACAAATATAAATAACAAATCATAGGGTAGATCTCTTAAAAATACGGGGTTATACACTAAAAAAACAGATAAACCTAATAAACCTAGTTCTGGTTGGAATAGCCTTGCGTTAAGGTGACCCACCCATGATGGATGCAAGTGTCCAATCCTAATAAGAGTGTACACAAGACGGGAACATAGAGTAGCACAAAACCGTATTGTACGTAAAATTATAAGCCAAATTAATGCTCACAAGTATAGATCCTAAGTTTGACTCGATTTCTACACACTGTGTAGTTTGGGACTACACTCCCTTTCTTTGAGTATCACAGGATACCGGAACAGAAATAAAATATTAACATTATTTAATTTGAAAACATCAATAATTAATAAAAATAAAAGAAAGAAGAAATAAAATATTGGACATAATTTGACATTGTTCCTTTTTATTTTACACCTATTAAAAATCCCGTAGATGGAGGGGCGTGGCCACGCTACGATCCAAGATGGACGCGTAAGCCACGAGCTCCTGCATAAGGGACACACAATCAGCGACAAGCACAGCACACAGTGCCGCACAACCGACCCCACCTGGGTACCTAGCAGACATGGCACAGCGAGCAACGAAAAAACCGAGGCGCCGACGGCCCGTCTTCCCCGGCATCCTGCTCTGATAGGAGCGACGGTACATCCGTCTCTTTGCTGACCTCTGCACCAGCCACAGACTCCTCAATTCAGAGGATGCTAGCAGACCTCAAGAGCTCCATGCAGGCTGAATTTACAAAACTGGCAAGGGACATCAAAGCAGATATCCAGGCCATAGGTGAGCGAACCGCCCATTTAGAAGACAAAACGGACGAGATCATCACAGCACACAACACATTGGCAGATGCTCACGCAGATATGGCTGCCAGACTTGATCTACTCACTGACAAGGTAGCAGACCACGAAGACCGAGACAGGAGGAGTAACATACGCATGAGAGGTATTCCAGAAGATGTAGCACCACAAGACCTGGCATCATATGCTACAGACCTCTTTCAAGCAATATCCCCAGACCTATCTCAATCAGACCTCCTCCTAGATAGGATTCACCGCCTACCACGACCGAGAAATCTGCCGCCATCTCTCCCACGTGACACTATAGCCAAGTTTCACTATTTCTCATCTAAAGACAAGATTATGAGAGCCTCAAGGCTTCTCCCCGAATTGCCGGGCAGATTTGCCAAAGTACAGCTCTACATCGACCTCTCAGCTGCCACGCTTCTCAAAAGGAAAATGCTTGCAACCATAACAACAGCCCTGCGAGAAGCGGATATTCACTACAAGTGGGGGTTTCCAGCACGGCTGATAATCCGTCGAAATGGAGTGGAAAAACATATTACCTTGGTAGAAGAAGGCAAGAGAATGCTTAAAGAATGGAATGTCCCTTTCAGAGTACCTCCAGACAACGCTACGCTAAATCTATCCCAGCGCTCCTCGACACAGGTCTCCAGGGACTGGAACACCACCTCCACGGCCAAATGACTTTAGCACATAATGTATACTATGATATAACGCTCCAACCTAACCTCACCTCCACGGACTGGTAACGTTATTATAAGCTCCTCACATACTGCCATAATATACAGCATGTACTTCCCTGTTTCACCATTTTCAGAATTCTTACGCTGTTTTACAGCCCACTATGCTTACTCCTTTCTCTGTACCATTGTGCAACAATAGTGAATCTCAACGAGCTTCGTGACCCAACGTAGATAAGCTTTACACTGCACGTCCCAACAACCCTGCACAGGCATTAGTGACAGGACCCCACCAAAGGGCCCTATGTTTGCACACAAGTCCCCTGCAGGGCATTCCATTGACTTCCCCCCATTAGGCCACTACTGGCCTCCTTACCGCCGTCTGTACGCTTTGGTACGACTTCCGACGGCTCTTTGTATATAGTTATTCTGTTTTTACTGTTTTTCTGTATTTATATGTTTTTCCTGGTGTCACATATTGCAATATCGACCCACCTACAGGACATGCAAGGCCCACACAAACTAGCTTGTCCTACCTCACTCCCTTCTAAGATATACATCATTATGGCAACCCGCGTACCTGGCAAAACCCCATATTTGCTTAACTGGCAGACAGCCATAGCCCAGCACAGGGGTGCTGACATGATTTATGGTTTACAGATTGTCATAGAAGTGAAAAGCGAGATAAATCACAAAATGTCTCGAAGGGCAACCCTGCCTAGATCTCCACCATGACTCTCACAATCCTATCGTTAAATACCAAGGGTCTTAACACACCCCATAAGAGACGCCTAGCGTTAGCAGAAGCTAAGAAACACAAAGCCCTAGTAGTCTTTTACCAAGAAACCCACTTTAAATGGGGACATAGACCGAAATTCAACTCCACTTTCTACCCCATAGATTTCCACTCATGCTACACAACAAAAAAACGAGGGGTATCCACTCTGATCAGCAAAGACGTATCCTTCACACTCGTTAAAAAAATAGGAGACAAACATGGTAGATACTTAATCATCCAATGCTACATAAACAATAACCCATACACGTTGGTGAATATATATGGACCGAATGAGAACCAACATGAGTATATGACCAAAGTTTTTGGGCTAATCTCTTTGTACCGCTTTGGAGATGTAATTCTGGGAGGTGACACTAACTGCCTATTGGACGCTTCCTCAGACACCTCCTCCAAACACTCACGACACACTAAAACTGCTAACAAACTAACAACCCTAACCTCTAAAATAACACACACTATCCTCTCCCACGACTTCGTGGATCCCTGGAGGATTCTTCATCCCACGGCCATAGATTATACCTTTCACTCAGCAGTGCACAATACGTATACGAGAATCGACCGGTTTTTGATACCGGCCAACTACATGAACAAAATCCAGCAGGCAACAATAGGCCCTATTACGTGGTCAGACCATGCGCCCATAACATTGACTATTCAGGAACAACACCCGTCCACAGGAAAGGGCACTTGGAGACTTAACGACACTTTACTTACAAACAAAGACACAGTAGCAGCAATCCAGAAAGACATAAAACAATATTTTATTGAAAACCCCTCAGAAGACACGAGCATTGAAACAGTATGGCAAGCACATAAGGCTGTCATACGGGGCACACTCATTAAAATAGCTAGCTATCAGCATAAACAACGTACATTGCGCTATACGAAACTCATAAAAGACATCACAGAATTGACACATAAAAACAAACAACAACCGTCAAAAGACACACAACAGCAACTAGCCGCATTGCAAAAAGAACTTCACAACTATGAACTAGCGAAAACTACCCATCTCCTCCAGCGATACAAACACAAATTCTTTACCACAGGTAATAAAGCAGGGGCATTACTAGCCGCACAACTAAAAACCCACTCACAACAAACAAAAATTGCACATATCCAAACTCCCCAAGGTAAAAAATTGATAAATCCACAGGCAATCGTGGACGAATTCGCACTCTATTACAGCTCCCTCTACACTCTTAAAGACGGAGCAGACATAGTCCCACCCTCCCCGCTCTCCATCACCCACTTCTTACAATCTGTTGACGTCCCCAAACTGCAAGACTCCGACATAACGACCCTCACCTCACCATTTACGATGGAAGAAGTAGAGCAGACAATCCGAGACTTACCCAAACAAAAAGCCCCAGGGCCGGATGGCTATACCAACCTTTACTACCAGACTTATACCAGCCTACTTACGCCTCACCTCACAAACCTATACAACTCCTGCTACACCTCAGGAACAGTACCGCCAGATATAGCCCACATATCGACCTTACCCAAACCTGGGAAACCCCCAACTCATTGCCAAAATTTTAGACCAATTTCCCTTATCAATGCGGATGTCAAAATCTATGCCAAACTGCTAGCCAATAGACTATCCAACTTTCTGCCCACGCTGATACACAACGATCAATCAGGGTTTATTAAAGGCAGACAGGGTTCGGACAACACACGGAAGGTCCTCAACATACTGGCACACATGCATGGTACGCGCGCTCAGGGTCTACTCCTGGCCTTGGATGCAGAAAAGGCCTTTGACAGGGTCAACTGGGAATACATGCGGCAAGTCCTACAAAAATTTGGCTTCCCGGCTGGCCTTGTCTCAGGCATCATGGCCCTATACAATAGCCCACAGGCGAGGGTATCCAATTCTGGTTTTCTATCCACACCTTTTAATATTACCAACGGTACTAGGCAGGGGTGTCCTTTGTCACCGCTACTGTATATCCTGTCCCTAGAGCCCCTGGCAGCTACCATTAGGCAACAAAATATAGTCCAGGGCGTAAACATAGGAAACCACACATTCTGCCTCTCCATGTTTGCAGATGATATCCTACTCACGGTCCAAGAACCCGAAACATCTGTCCCGGCACTAATACAACTGCTCCAGCAGTATGGACAACTGTCCTACTACAAGCTGAATCAAAGCAAAACACAGGCTCTGCCGATTAATCTACCAAGTTCACTGATAACACGACTTAAACAATCACACTCCTTCGACTGGAGAACCACCGACATCACATACCTAGGAGTAAAGCTTGGCCCATCCCCTGCAGACACATTCAAACTAAATTTCAAACCACTCATACCAATGTGCAAAACACATACCCAACAATGGAAAGCAGTTAAGCTCTCCTGGCTGGGAAGAATCAATTCAGTAAAGATGATGCTTCTGCCTAAACTTCTATACAAATTTAGAATGCTGCCGATTTATGTCAACCCGACGTTTTATAAGCACATCCAAGCTATTCTCTCCTCCTTTATTTGGGAATCACGCAAACCACGGCTCGCGATGTCACTTCTCCAAAAACGTGCGGACAAGGGTGGACTGGGGTTCCCAGATATCCATAAATACCACAAAGCATCCTTCCTAGAGGCAGCTATAAAACTCCACACCCCCAAAGGGACTTTTCAATGGGTGGACATGGAAAACGCTAGGGCGCCTGGCGGCTCTCTGGTAGGGATGTTATGGACCCCAGCACACACAAGACCAAACATGCTCCACCTTTTCAATACCTCGATCACCACTATGAAGCAATGGGACACGCTACACCGCACCCAGCATAAACTCAATAAGTTTCACCCGCGGGCCCCGATAACGGCACTGAACTCCCTAACCCCAGGGTTGACTATGAACTCCTGGATAAAACACGGCATAAAACACATAGTAGACACATACCAAGACCATCGACTTATGCCCTTCCCAGATCTTCAACGGAAATTTGACCTACCTAACGCCTCCGTCTTTCAGTATCTCCAACTTCAAAGCATGGCCACATATAAGATACTTACAAAATCAGACATGACATCCACTAACCTACAACACCTAGACCCGTTACATGACCAATGCTGGCTCTCACCTACAAAGCCCAAGGCACTATCTTTATGCTACAACATACTGCTGAACGCCGTTGCCATGAAAACCCCCAACTACGAACAACAATGGCACACGGAATACGACTCCTCGCCATCAGGCAACACCTGGTTGCAATCACTCAACGCACTCAAAGGTATCACCAACTGTTACTCACATCTAGAGGCACACAAAAAGCTGGTTTATAGGTGGTACCTAACACCAAGTAAACTGCACAAAATTTACCCCTCAGTTTCTGAGAGGTGCTGGCGGTGCGGGGGGGCAAAGGGCACGATGTTCCACATATGGTGGGAATGTCCTGTCCTGGCCCCTCTCTGGGGTCACGTTAAAGACATTCTCGAGTTGCTCAATATTACCACGGTCACACTGGACCCCTTAACATGCTTATTCCTGCTACTCCCACCTTCCTTGACCAAACCCCTTAAACAAGTGACGATACTCACAATCCTGGCTGCTAGAAACCTCATAGCGCAGGGATGGAAACACACCCACTGCCCCACTAAACAACAACTGATGGACAAACTCCACCAATACTATATTTACGAACAATTGTCCACTACTTCCATCACACAATCACTGAGATTCCAAGACACATGGAAAACATGGGCTGATATCTACACACCAAATAAGAGACAAGATAAAGACCACGCGACATACCCTAGTAGTAGTAGTGCTCTTCACCCCGAACCTTAACCGCGGGCAACCATATACGCACGCGGACAGAAGGGTGCCTAAACACTTCATAAGGGGCACAACACACCCACAGACAACTTAGGTGACACCTCATATGTTGATACATGTTCGATGTTATATAGATGTTGTTACAGACAAGCGGAAAACTTTATTACCCCCTGGTTACCCCTCCCTTCCCCTCCTCATCTCCTGCCACAAAAAGGCAACCTATGACACTGTTTTAGATCAGACCAGGGAAAGTAGTCACCCAGTACCCTCCAAGCGAGACCTCGCTATAAATACTATAGGCATACAATGTACAGGTGATCTAAACAACGATGTACGATGTACTTTAACATGAAATGTTAATTGGTCCTAAATTGCGATTGTGATCTGTTGCCCCACCCTCCCTTTTCTCTGTTTCTGTATCCCACCCCTCCTATTGTGTTATCAAAACAATAAAAAACTATGTTTTAAAAAAAAAAAAAAAATCCCGTAGATGTCTATGAGGCTTGCAGAGACTCTTTCCCAGATCCTATACATTAGCCAAGAGCGTGAGTGAATGTGAGTAGCTTAATTCATGATGAAATCAGTCACACAGCTACACAACTAGTTATAAGAAACCATGTTGTTGCTGCCACTAACTTGTCAAATAGTTAAAACGGTGGCACGGGGGTTTAATGAACCATCAATTCAATTAATCCAAGCTTTGTGTAAAATTAATGGCTGATCTATAGCAGCCCATTAAAAACAATGGAATGACCAAGTTTGGTGGAGAAGCATCACCCACCTCCTGATTAATGTAAGATTTTTAGTAAAATATGCCCATTCAAAGGTATATTTTTATTAATTATTATTATTGTTAATGTTTTTACATTTCTCAATAATCCACAAAAAGGAGTGCCAGATCCAGTATCCCTTTAACACCAAGTGGTAACATGATCTCAAATACTAACCAGTTAAAACTTTGCCCCACCAGGCACCTAACACCTTTCAAGATGTAGTGATGACATTGATGAGTCTCTTCATGATTTTGACTGGCAGCACCAAAAAAACAAAAAAATTAGACATGATCAATACAATCCTTCCATTTATTTATGACCTTGTATCACTAAGCCAAATGGCAAGCTAAAAGTTAGAAATAAAGGTTAAAAACATAAAAATAGTTTATTCTCAAGAATGTCTGCATTTTGACTTCATAGCTTTGTTACATATATCCTTAAAAAAATTATACTTCCTCTTTAATTCTTTTGGTATCAGCTCTGATTTTCATAACGTGTACAGAAACCCTCTCAGCACACGGCATGTCTTCCAGCCATCCTTGGAACACATCCTTGTGTTCTAAATATATAGAACCCTGCTAGAGTACTTGAAAGAAAATCATTCAGTAACGGCTCCTTGGGTGATATTAGCGATTTTGCTTCATCAAAGCTTGTCAGGACTCTGTTTCTGTCTCTATTAAAGGACATGTCTTATTCAGAGCTGCAAAATTAAATACATTTTCTAAAAGCTTTCATGCTCTCCAGAACAAATGAAAAATTAAAGGACCTTAATTAGCCATCTGAATGCAAAATACATTTAAAAGAGCTTTTCGTTTTGGTGTGTGTTTTTATGCTTTTTTGGTTATCACATACCAACTGGATATAGAGAGAAAGGCAACTCTTATCATAATGTAATCTAAATGAATATGGCTGCTTGTCTTAAGAAGATATGGATACACTTCTGCTATGAGTATGTGTGCTTAGCATACTGCTTGTATAACCTGGACAAAATTGATTGTAGGCAGTCAGAGCTAAGCATGCCAGGTGCCTGACTGACAGCTCTGTGGGCCTGTCTTATAAACGCAGGACTTTTATTTTATTTCTTTTTTACAAATTGCAGTATATCTAAGTTACTATTAGAGCTGAAAAAAGGTACATGGTACTAGAAGAACCGTCAGTGTTGCAGACGTGTGTAAAGATACACAGAATCACAGAAAATAAAAATGTGCTATATAATATATTTTATTAAAATGCACATTCACAGGGCAAAGAGAAAGTATTTCGAGACATTCATTTTTGTTAAAATTGTTTAATTATTTTTTTCACATCAATCTACATTCAATAACCCATAATGAAAAAGCAAAAAGCAGGTTTTTGAAAACTTAAAGAGACACTATAGACATCAAAACAACTATAGCTTAATGTAGTTGTTCTTGTGCCTAAACCATGTCCCTGCAGGATTTTTGTTTTAAATATTAACATTCCAGTTTAGGAACACCTCTAGTGGCCACTCCTCAGAGTGCCACTAGTGGTGCTTCCTTGGGGAGTGCTGTGATGTTCAGCATCTCCATGCTTTGCTGAACTTGATCTATGAGGACATGCTGATTGGCTACGTTGGTGTTTGCGCCCCCCCCCCCAACAACACAGAGCTTACCCAGGGATCGTGTGTTGAGTTGAGAGGTGCGGAGAGGCAATCTTTATTGCAACACTTCACCAATCAGCCCTTTATGGCAGACTGGAAGGATAGAAACCTGTTCTCATTACAAAACACATTACAGACAGCCTGGAATTCGCACACAAAAAAAGCAGGGGGCGTGGCTTGAACACAGGAGTGAATGGCTGCATGAGAGCCGAGCTCCGCTCGAGAAAGGCCTAAATAGCAAGAATCCCGGCAGTTTTAGAAGACATGGTGACCAAAAGATCGAAGGCACAAACAGGCAGCACTCCCTCCTCCACCCTTACCTCCTCCAAGACTTCCCTGAGGAGATTCTTCACAGAGAAACAGGAGGCAGACATGCGGTCCAAGATGGCCGCGGCTAAGAAATCTCCCGCGAGGAGCGCACCAGCCAGCCCTGCTCCCTCGGACAGCTCCACAGACGGAGCAGATATTAAAACCATCTTAACTGAGCTACCCTCCAAACTGGACCTCGAGGCAATGTTCTCCAAACTGGAAAGGAGCTTTGGCGCCAAGTTACAATCTCTCCATGAGGAGTGTAATAACTGGCTGTGTTTTTCTTTAGTTGAATAAGTCTTTTATGTATATATATATATATATATATATTTCTTCTTTTGGGTCAGGCTCGCCACAATAATATATGTCTATATTATTGAAAAGTACTAATACGCAATCTGACGTTCTTTATAAAAAATAAGTATTTATTCTACATTCAACAGCAAACAATAATATACTTAACAGATGGTATTTCTTAACGACGTTACAGAGAGTCGTCATTGTATCAGCAACTCAGCACACCAGAGAGTAGAGCAAAACGGATCGTAGCAGGAAGAGAGTGTAGTCCTTTGTCCTTGGCTCTATATAGCCCAAATTACATCATAACGTTTAGTTTAGACTCTGCCATATAAGGAAGTTCCCTATATAAAGACCACCTCAAATCTCTTATACAGCAAATTCCAGAGACCCCATGGTACAGAATAGCAAACGCCATCTGTTCTGTTTAACCCATTAGACAACCACACCTTAATATGTATTTGAATAGGAACATATAGAATATGCAATATTCTACAAGGAGGTAAGCCACATTGGCAATAGGGTGCAAACACTAGAAAAGGAGGGGGAAACAACAGCCCTACAAATGCATAACATACAAACTCTCCAACAAACCCAAAACGAGGCCCTAATATTCCTACAGAGGAAAGGGGGGCCCTAGACAATAGGGGAAGGCGCAACAACCTCAGAATTAGAGGCATTCCTGAGACCCCTGAAGGAACAAGTGAAAATATCACACAAACCCTCACAAATCTCTTTAATCAGCTGCTGAGCAGGCCGCTAGATACACCCATCAAGTTTGACCGCGCTCACAGAGCGATCAGGCCGAGAGCACTAACTAATGAGAAACCAAGAGACATTATCTGCAGGCTCCATCATTTCCCCCTAAAAGAGACAATCCTGCAAAAGGCCAAGCAAATTAGAGACATTACATTTGGCGACTGTAAAGTGCAAATATTTCAGGACCTGGCGCAATCCACACTTATCGCGAGAAGAGCACTGCGCCCGATCACGAAGGCGCTCTCAGACCGCAACATACGATTCCGCTGGGCATACCCTTTCGCTTTAGTGGTGAACCGCCAAGGGAAGACACACTCAATCTCTACACCAGCAGACGTTCCGACGTTTCAACAAGCCTTAGGCATACCCACAGACACGGTGGAAGACTGGACTGGTCTCTACATGGAACAAGACAAGCAACTACCCCAAAGGGCCAAATGGCAATGCACCCCCTCGGGAAATGAACTGCCCTCAACACCAAAAGTCACTGCTACAAAACCGACCTAAAAGACTCAATATATCCTTTTAATCTGCTAAACATACCTGAGTCACAGAGGCGTTTGCCATATATACCGCCTATTTAATGCCATGTCTATATCTACATATCTCTATATATTTACTGTTTAATGTTTAACCTACTGCCATAGTTCCACGTGGCCGGGACCCAGACAACTAGAGGGCATCCGGAACCCCGGACACGCTGGAACTGGGATTCGATTCATAGTTAAATGCCATTATCAGTTATAAATTATGTTAGAATATGCTAATGTTAGAATGCTAAATATTTATGTATTATGTATAAAACATATGCAGAAGGCCTAGAGTCTCGACGGGTCTAGACCACACAACCCCCCAAGAGGTGCCACAAAGAGCATGCAGGATCCACATGATCCACAGCGGGCTTGACACCATCTGGTTACAGCATGCACACCGCATGCACACTGTAACTAATTTTCCTGGTTTACGTTTTTCCCCCCAAATCCTCGCCCCCATTGGGTATAGGTACGCACCGTATCATTTAAGTCCAAGATGCCCCTACCTCTGGCCATTTTATGATGGATAATCTTAAACTCATGTCCCTGAACGTAGGGGAACTTAACACACCCGAAAAACGCACAGTACTAGCGCATGAATTGGACAGACAGCAGGTGGATATAGTATTCCTCCAGGAAACACATTTTAGAGGGGATCAGACCCCCATATTGAGAACTAAATCGATGGGGCAATCATACTTTAGCAATTATCATGGAGGTAAATCTAGAGGGGTCGCTATCCTGTTATCGTCCAGAAGAGCATTCATACTCCAAGACAGTAAACTAGACCCACAGGGTACATATTCCTCAAAGGCAAACTTAACAACACACTTATTACCCTAGTAAACGTTTATGCACCCAACAACAGGCAAGTCCCATTCATCAAATCATGCCTCAGAAAACTAGAGAATTTTGCAGAGGATATGGTAGTGATGGGGGGCGACTGGAACATAGTCTTAGATCACTTAATAGACAGTTCAGCGACAGGCAGAGACACGCAAGCACACCAGCGTCTACTATTTCAAAGAGCCCTACATGCCAATCAACTAGTAGACTGCTGGAGGATTGCCCATCCTCAGGAAAGGGATTACACATACTTCTCCCAGGTAGCACATAGTTACTCTAAATTGGATATGTTCTTGATAGGACATAGACACCTGCACACACTAGTTCACTCGTCCATTGGAGCGATCACATGGTCGTACCATGCCCCAATATTCCTTACGCTGTCCCTTGAAGAGAAGAGTGCCATTAGCAACTCATGGCGCTTAAATGAATTACTACTGGATGACCCCAGGGTAATGGAGGATTTGAATAGCGCTCTACCCAGGTACTTTTTAGAAAATATAGATAAAGGCACAGCAGAATCCTGGGTATGGGAAGCACACAAAGGCATAACCCGAGGGATCCTGATTAAATGGGGAGCACGTATCAAAAAGGAAAGAGCGTCACAAATCCGATCTCTCACTGAAGCTATGTCCACAACAGAGTCTAACCACAAATCTAACCCTACACCCGAAGCATACAAAACATTATCAGCACTCCGAATAGAACTGTGAAACCTCCTTATCGTGAAAGCGCATAGGGCAGCCCAGCTGACTAGGGGGACATATTACGCTCATGGCAATAAAAGTGGGAAATATCTGGCCAGAGCTCTAAAGGACAAACACCAAAAGACATACATCTCTCACATTACGACAAAGGGTGGGACACACCAAGACACAGCAGAGGACATAGCCAAACCTATTACAGTGAACTCTATAACAAGGGACGCCCAGAGAACACCCAACATAACATTGCAGCATACATTTAAGCCCACACCCACAAGACATTAGACCCACAACAAACCGCTCACTTAGAATCACCTATCCAGCCTGAGGAACTCCAAGTGGCAATAACAACTCTCCCCAAAGGCAAAAGCCCAGGTCCAGATGGACTTACGGCCAGATACTATCAGGCCTTCCAACACATATTAGCTCCAGGTTACCTAGAAGTCCTCAATGCCCTATCACTCAATGATGTTCTCCCACCACCCATGCTGAAAGCCTCGATCACTGTTCTCCCAAAACCGGGTAAAGATCCAAGCATATGTAGTAGCTACAGGCCAATATCCTTAATCAACCTAGATCTAAAAAAATTTGCTAAAATCCTGGCCAACAGGATCAAACCACTTCTCCCTGACCTGATCCACGCTGATCAGGCGGGATTCATACCAGGTAGAGAGGCCAGGGATAACACGACCTGACTCCTAAACATCATGCACGGCGCAACATCTTCAAGAACCCCCACACTGCTCTTATCGGTTGATGCTGAAAAGGCCTTTGACCGAGTAGACTGGGAATTTTTGTTCACCGCACTGGAGTCACTGGGAATGGGACCAATTTATAGACGTTGGTTGAGGACGTTATATAGAGGCCCCTCAGCCTCGGTCAGGGTCAACGGGCAAGACTCCCCTCTGTTCCACATTAGCAATGGCACCAGGCAGGGATGCCCCGTATCACCCCTACTTTTTGTCTTGGTCATAGAGCCCTTCCTCAATGCTATCAGAACTAACAATAACATCACAGGCTTTGGAGCCGGGGGAAAGGAGATCAAAGTGTCCGCCTTTGCGAACGATGTACTCCTCACCATCACTAGCCCGGAACAATCCCTCACACATGGACACATATGGTGAGAGTGCCCACATATAAGAAAGTATTGGACAGATGTAATCGCAATAATAAAAACCATTCTAAAACTCCCACATTCACTGGCACCATCCCAGGTCCTGTTGGGCTGGCCACAAACCTTCCAAAACCCGAGAGCCCAACAACTGCTATGGTTGTTATTGGGAGAAGCAAACAACCTAATACCCATATACTGGAGGAACCCTGAGACCCCCACAGTGACACAATGGATAGATAGGGTAGAAGTAATGAAAGAAATGGAGAACCTACATTGGTCTACACTAGGCCGTCACGACAAATACACAATCACATGGGAACCCTGGCTAAAGTACTGGCCGCAAAATGACAATAAACGTGGCCAATAATGAATGAACCTACACGCTACCCAATGGAACCCAACCCCCCCCCCCTGCGCTACCGCCCCAGCCTCCTCACTATGGGGAATCTACGGGACACTGACCCCCACCCATCCCCTGTACCAACACCCAGTTATAACCCTCAGCCCTGAGGTCTCAGTGTCGAGAAAGGGGGAGACTAAAATACAGATCACGGGGGGGCGGGGCCGGGCGGCCATGCCAGCAGGCTGCATATCACACAGGCTCCCGAGCAAACAGAGGAAACTATGGAATATACCCACCTTACTCGGCTTATACAGACCCGGGGGTCCGTGGCACGAAGCTCTGGAGTGTCCCGGTGTAGCTGGGGCGCCCGCTGCAGGGTGGCTCTAGGTCCTGGTGAGAGACTCCGGGGCTCGGAGATTGAGGCCTACCCGGGAGGGGAGAGGGGCAGACGGCCGCTGCCTCGCTCTCCACCCCGACTACGGCGAACTACCATCTGGCTGGTGCCTTCCTGGTCCCGTTTCCCCCCCCCATGGGCCGGGGGGGTCATCCCGGTCCACACCAGGCAGGCTACCGCCTAAGCATCTCACCTGGATGGCCCAAAGCTTGAGAAGTGAGTCTCCCACGCGGTCTCATCAAAATGGCCGACGGCTGCACAGCAACTGCACCGACCGAGACGGTGATCCCTCTGTGCTCAAAACCGGAGCTGTTAACACGGGTGTCCCTGAGGGCTCTCAAGCCCCCACGAAACGACTCTGGAACAAGTAAGCTGACAGGAGAGGACCATAACAGCCAGCACTTCCTCCACATGCCCATGCCAAAGCTGCAACCCCAGAAGCGCACTGTGCAAGCAAGCCTCACTAACGACCAGGGCTGGAAGAACAAACAGGACAATCAACTTAACCCACAGACCGCATGGTGCTACAGCCCTCGACAGCACATCAAGGCTAACAAGGCAAGGCAAACATACCCAGCAACTGGGATGACACGGCGGGACATTAGGGACTGTGCCCCAAAGCCTGCTCTGATTGACACTCACTCCCAGCTACTCAGAAACAGCAGAGCAGGTATCGGGTAGTGGCGGGACTCCCCCTGTCTGTGAGGTCTCGGGACCACCATGATGGCAGCCCTCTGGGCCGATTAACCAGGGTGAAATTCCACTAATGTGACCTAGACATAGCCTGAATAATTTCAAAGCACTAACCTGGTAATATAGCTAGTGATGTGTTCCAGCTTCATTATGTTTTTCCCTGTCTCTGCCTTAATTTTGCAGGCTTATAATACATTCGCAACTCAAGCTATGTAAGCATGGTCCTTTAAGCAGAGTGTGGCAAATAATAAGCGTGGTAAAAACTATAAAGCTGCAATGTATAATTGGATATAGGCACTTACCTGCCATTAGCATGGAATTAGCAAGCATACAGCACTACGTGTCTCAACCCTGCAGCACATAGTCTATGTGCAGGTACCTGAAAGTGTTGTAAACTCTTAATTCTACACTTAGCTTATATGCACATACTAGTTCTTGACACAGCATAATAATATCATAACTAGATAGTAAAGCGCTGTTGCATTGTGTTATGAGAATACCTAAGCACCCTAAGCGACGAAAACATATATTGTTTAGCACCTATCCTATCCCTATATAAAAAATGTGCTAGATTTAACATGTACCTCTATGTTCAACTGTTATTCATCAGCTGGAGGATTGCCTTTGGGGTACCTCACATGCATCTGTTCAAAGCTTATGCACTACAAAAATAAAGAAAAAAAAAAAAAAAAAAAATACAGATCACGTGGTACTCCAGAACTCCTGAAAATCCCAGTGGAGGACCCAAGGAGATAAACTATACGGTTTACATCACATACCCAGAACCCAAGGGGCGTAATCCCTAGAGGGATTCAGAGAGGTTAGGAGAAGATAGTTCCTCCACAGGAGTTAAGGGAAGAACCAAAAAAGTATTGTAACATTCAATGTAACTACCGTGTGTTGATTATACAATGTAACAATCCACCATGTAAATCTGTTGCTTCATGCCTATTGTGATCCCTCCCCTCTTGACGAACCCCCTACCCCCTTCTTCTCTTTCTGTACCCCAATCCCTTTGATATAAACCAATAAAATTGGAATTAAACAAAACAAAAAAAACACCTAAAAGACTCTAAAACTGTGAGAAACAAAATCCTCTGAAATGAAGATTTAACATTTTGGCCGCAATACAAGGCGTCATATCTGCAGGAAATCAGGCTCCGCAATACCATCTCAACAGTGGAGTCTTGTCATGATAGCATTATGTGTTGGGGTTGTTGTTGAGCAGCAAAACTGAGAAAAGCAAAATGCAGAGATATCCTTAATGAGAAAAAAGTATACTATACTCCTGGTTAAGTAATGTATAGTACCCAGTGGCATCACCTTGTAGTATTTGACAGTCTAATCTGTTAGATTTCTCTAATCCATGTATATCTCCTTCTAAAAGGTTCTATCTGCGTATAAGCTCTCTACCTATTCCTATCTAGACATATATGCCTAACCAACATAAGCAGGTGTAATATTATATTCTACTCATGACTAGATGTATCCTTCAGTTTATTAATCACTAATAATTCTAGTGAATCTCAACCACTTGGATGTAGTTGCCCAGCTAGACGTTTATTTTTTGGGGGGCTTTACAAAATTGGGCCATAGTTATATATGCTATGCTTTATATCACTATGTTTGTTTCTCTGTGCTGGGCAATGCTGTCGTGTTTGTTACCTAAAAGTAAAGACTTAAAAAAGAATAAAGATAATTTTATTTCTGATTTTAAATGCAATATCAGTCTTGGCAGTGGCGGATCCAGAGCCTGATCTCGGGAGGGGCACTTGTAGATTATTTAAAGAAATAATCCAGACACAATAACTACTACAGCTCAGTGTAGTGGTTATGGTGTCAATAGTGCCGGGACCCCCTCCTAGAGTAAGTAGTCAAACCGTTTAAGAACAGTTTGACAACTTACCTGAGGTCTGCTGGGAAATGGGGCGGTAGTAGGGCATAGGAGCAGTGGTGTGTGTGAGTGGTGCAATGTGTAAGGGGTGCAGTGTGTGTGTGTGTGTGTGTCAGGGGGACATTGTGTGAGCAGTGTGTGTGTGTGTGTGAAGGTTGTAGTGTGTGAGTAGGGGGGGCAGTGTATGTCAGGGATGCAGTGTATGTGTGGGACAGTATGTGTGTGTAACAGTTGCAGTGTGTGTGTGAATGTGGGCAATGTGTGTGTATGGGGGCAGTGTGTGTGTATGGGGGGGCAGTGTGTGTGTATGGAGGTGTGCAGTATGTGTGTGCATAGGGGGCAGTATGTGTGTGTGTGTATGCAGTATGTGTGTATATGGGGGGCAGCATGTGTGTATGGGGGCAGTATGTGTGTATGGGGGCAGTATGTATATGGGGGCAGTATGTGTGTATGGGGGTATGTGTGTGTATGGGGGCAGTATGTATATGGGGTATGTGTGTGGGCAGTGTGTGTGTGTATGGGGGGCAGCGTGGGGGGGCAGTATGTGTGTGGGGGCAGTATGTGTGTGTAT